ATTTAGAAATATTGCATATTTTGTAGTAGACATCATGGAGACAAGCCATTTTCAGCTACTAAGGTTGAAACAATTATTAATTGAAAAATGATGTTTTTACAAAATATCTTGAACGTAAACAGTAAGGTATTTTACCAAACAAACTCAAAACTTTTTTGGTTCAATATTTAATTTATTTTTTAGAGTTTACACAATATGTGCATTGTGCAATGTGCATTGTGCTTCATAGTTTGTTGATGAGGCGAATTTTTAGCGTTAATCCTAATGACTGATAGTAATTTCCCAGTGTTTCAAGAAATTCCGATCATTTTGAGCCAATAAATATTTTTATGATTTTTGGTTACTTGCTAATTAGTAACTATCCAATTATCTAATTGTCTGACATGAACATTTGTCTTACAAAAGTTTTTCTCGTCGATATGATAATTACCCTCTATTAATTTGTATCCTTCTACGATGTTCACAGCTGAAGATATTTGACAAACAAGAAAGGTGGTAAAAAGTGGCTAAAGTGGCAAAAAGTGGCCTTAAGACACGTGGACAATTTTGGAAAAGTTGGCCACCCGAATGAAACTTAAAATTGAACCTAAAAACGTCATAAATCCTTTGGAAGCTTCTTCTGTCAGTAGATCGATTTTTTTAGACGGATCTGTCTGTACTATAGTACTATCTTTGCACTCTGCACTGCAAACGTCCACATAACGCAAAATATTGACCTTATTAGGTAATCGTGACGTCACGTTATCCATGACAGTTGGCACGAGTACTGAATAGACTGTGCCTGCAGTCACGTCAGGCACGGATTATCAGCTAGGTACGGCTTTTGAAAAGCCGAGTGTCTGAGGAGTTGTCACGTATTCTTGGCACGCCCTATAAACACACTACGTACATATGGTCATTACATCTGACCGCACCATGACAACAGTCATGGTGACAACAGTCATGGTATGGTCGGGCCCTTAAATTCTGAGAATAAACTATATGGGCGACATTCATACAATTCCTTTACAATTTTGCTAGAACACCTCTTCTTTAATTTCATGATATTCATTAATCATTGCTCAGTAGTCATGAGTTAAACATACAATTAACAGGTTGGTTACCAGTCGAACGTGAGCTGTATATAGAGTGGGATCTTGAGTCGACACCTTTAGAAATTAGGACTGATAGTGAGCTGGGGAGTGACGATCAGGTGTATGTGTACTTCTACTCTGCTGAAGGAGAGGATGCAGGAAGAGTCTGGCTCGACTTCACCTCTACTCCACGATACAGGCTCATCGGTTGCAGCTCATTCACTAACTTCTCTGTTAATCCCCCCTCTACTGCTGACAAGGTTTGGCGTATCACTCTAACCAAGACTGCAGGTGTTAGAGTAGTGATACACTGTAACGAGGTGGAGGTGCTCAACATACTGCTCTCTCTAGCAAAGTGTAGTGGCGGTTATTGGAGCTGGACCTGGAACACAGACGTGACAAAGATAAAGTTCTCGTCCAAAGACACAGCATCTGATTACTACGGACCAGGTGACTAATAACAACAAGCTTTGGTTTAACACACAATAACTTTAATTTACAAATAAGCCAACTTGCTGATTCTCTCGTAAGCTCGTGATTACGTGATTTCTGTCTAAATTTTAAGTATTTTATTTAGTTATTTAACATAAACGCATATATTATAGGATATGGGATATAGGATAGTTAGTACATATTGTTATTTATAACTTAATAAAGTGGTCATAATTTTATCATTTACTGTTCTCCGAATGAAATAAAATCATATTCTTTCAGATTGCAAAATAGCTAACTATAATTTAGAAATATTGCATATTTTGTAGTGAGATCATGGAGACAAGCCATTTTCAGCTACTAAGGTTGAAGCAATTATCAATTGAAAACTGATGTTTTTACAAAATATCTTGAACATAAGCAGTAAGGTATTTTACCAAACAAACTCAAAACTTTTTTGGTTCAATATTTATTTTGCAGAGTTTACACAATTATATCTGCATTGTGCTTCATAGTTTGTTGATGAGCCGAATTTTTAGCTAATCTTAAATTTGATCCTTCGAACAGCTGTTGAGCAATGAAACGCAAACATAATCTTAGCAAAATGAATATATTTCTTTTATCTTCAGCATTTAATCAGTCACATAATCTGAGAATATCAATGTTTAGTTTGAAAATGTCAAAAATTCTCATCAAAAATGTAGTAAAGTCTCAAAAAATTATTAATTTAGCATCTCGTCAAAATGGAATAGTTTAAAATCGGAACAAAATTAATGGCATATACTATAATAATGTGGAGTCTGCAGTAGTTCATTAAATCAAAAAGACGCAATTCAAAAATTGATAGAATTTTTAGCTTTAATCTTAATGACTGATAGCAATTTAAATTAGTATTGGGTTTAGAACCAAGAAGGAAAATTTGTGGTGAAAATTACAAGAACCGTAAGGGCCTGGGTGGCAATAATTTCCTCGAAAAACCGTGGAATATGTGGATATTTAATTTTTCACATATTGTTTTAAATCTAATGTTATTGTCACGCATCTGAACTCTACTTAAATAGTTATACAATAACGATTTTCTTATCTTCCACTACGATTTGCCAGTTTTAACGTTATTAATTCCAGGGCCGTGTGGAGAAGGAACATATCGGAATGATGCTATGACAAACTGTGAGACATGTGACGCTGGATTGACACCAAACTCTGACAAAACAGCCTGTGGTAAGATAACTTTAAAGTTTATTAAATTTGATAATATTGTTATGTTTTAAATTTGAATTAACTGTGCTATAGAATGAAAACCGAGGATATTGGTACCCACAATAACTTCTAAATAAGGTAGTTCAAACGAATTGCTGCTTAAAGATTTCCTAATTCTTCAGAGCCATGTCCAGCTGGAAGCTACAAGAACATTGATATGAACACATGTGAAGAATGTCCTGATAACACCATCAGTTCAGAAGGAGCAGCCTTGTGTACAACTTGTGAACTTGGCCAACAACGAAATTCAGAAAGAACAAAATGTGGTAAGAATTGTTAACAAGAACCGAGCTGAGATGATTATATCTATATTATATAGATGGGCAAAGATAAGCTTAGGGTTAAGACGGGATAAGGATAAGGCGCCAGATAAGGCTTAGAATAAAAAGGCAAATTTGTGGTACGAAAAGACAAGAACCGTAAGAGTTTGGATGGTAATAATTCTATCTAAAAACCATAGCTGTGTGGATATTTAATTTTTCACCTATTGTTTTAAATCTTATGTAATTGTAACACATCTGAAGTGTACTTATATAATTACGATTTTCTTATCTTCCGCTACGATTTGCCATTTGTAACGTTATAATTCCAGAGCCGTGTGGAGAGAGAAAATATCGGAATGATGCTATGACAAGCTGTGAGACATGTGACGCTGGATTGACACCAAACTCTGACAAAACAGCCTGTGGTAAGATAACTTTAAACTTATATTTAATATTATTGTTGTGTTTTAAATTTAATTAACTGTACTAAAGAATGAAAACCGAGGATATTGGTACTCACAATAACTTCTTGACATTAATAAACGAATTGCTGCTTAAAGATTTCCTAATTCTTCAGAGTCATGTCCAGCTGGAAACTACAAGAACATTGGTATGAACACATGTGAAGAATGTCTTGATAACACGATCAGTTCAGAAGGAGCAGCCTTGTGTACAGCTTGTGAACTCGGCCAGGAACGAAACTCACGGAGAACAAAATGTGGTAAGAATTGTTAACAAGAACCGAGCTGAGATGATTATATCTATATTATATAGATGGGCAAAGATAGGCTAAGGGTTAAGACGGGATAAGGATAAGGCGCCAGATAGGGCTAGAATCAAAAAGGCAAATTTGTGGTACGAAAAAGCAAGAACCGTAAGAGTCTGGGTGGTAATAATTCTACCAAAAAACCGTGGTTGTGTGGATATTCAATTTTTCACCTATTGCTTTAAATCTTATGTAATTGTAACACATCTGAAGTGTACTTACATAATACAAATTTTCTTATCTTCCACTACGATTTACCAGTTGTAATAATATATAACGTTATAATTCCAGAGCCGTGTGGGGAAGGAACATATCGGAATGATGCTATGACAATCTGTGAGACATGTGACGTTGGATGGAAACCAAACACTAAAAAAACTGCATGTGGTAAGATAACTTTAAATCTTATATTATTGTTATGTTTTAAATTTAATTTTACTGCGCTACAGAATTAGAATGGTAAATTGTATACAGTATTTGAGACTTGGACCCCCGAGCAAACGATAGTATAGTTATATTTGAGGCTGCTAGAAAGTGTTCGGGTTGGAACAGGAAAACTAAATCGCGGAACTGCTGAATAGAAGAGAACATAAGAAACCGTCAAAATATACCTTATTAATCAGTTTTTACGTGATTTAATATGACATATCGACAGTGAGCTGTACGGGACTGAAGGCTGAGTGGAGAACTGCGATCAGAACAACAACACAGTTCCCAGTAGTCCCAGGAACTGTGGTGGAAGTGAATTGTATTGAATCCAGAGCACTCAATAAAGGGAGCAGCGAGGTGACCTGCACCTCAGGAACGGAATTTATTTTCGATTTTAATGAACCCGAGTGTATAAATACAGGTATAATTGTAGAAGCGGATATGCTAAATGTCCATAGCATCACTACAAAAGGATAAATAAACTCTTCATACAACCAGGATAGTATCAGCATAACCGACGAAAGGGGGTAAAATAATGTCGTAAGGGGGAGAGTTGGTTAATGGTTATATTACTTTAGAAAACTGATTTAATTTAATCTTACAGTTGATGGGCTATGACAAATAGCTCAGATGATACTGCAATCTAACTTAGATATCCAAATAAGAAAATGTATGTTTGAGTTTTCCGGGTGGAAAAGTATGACAGCAGAAACCCAGTACCCATAACATAGGTCCCCAGAAAAGTTATCGAGGTAACCTGCTCTGAGATCTCAACACAACAGCATTTGACAAAGCAAAATAAAATGTAAAATCAATTTAAATTCAAAAATTTAACAAAGAATGCATTTCCATTATAACATAGTAAAACACTTTGTTTCATAGATACATAAAATTTATACTAAAACACTTAATACAATCGTGAGATGTACGTAGAATCCAGCTCAATGTTACAACATAAACCCTTGATGATATAGTCTAGCAAATATTATAAACTAACCGCAAATCCGGTGATTTCCATTTCAAATGACAACAACCAGAAGATCTTAATAATGGTCTAATGATAATCTACTCCTATCTCAAGTTATTAATTAACAACCCCAGGAACAAAGACGATGATGTATAAAGTCTATGCGAATGTCGACAGAATAGAGATGAGCAGGAAGAAAGTGAAATAAAATCAGCTCCAATTAATTTATGAGCATTCAAGGTTAGTAAGAAAAATTTCCACTGAAAGTGTTTGTTTTCTTCGTCATATACTGCAACACTCCTATTGTACTGAATTCCTAAAATTCAATTGCTGTTTAAAACACATTGCTATTATCTAAATTATTTTCAATTTAACTGTGACCAAATTTTAAATTTTGAACATGAACTGTGCTGATTACCAGAAATTACATGTACAATACCAGAAATAATGTGTCACTCTGCAATAAAATCACCATTTCAGAATACAAATTACAGAAACGAGCTTCATGGCATTGATAAGTGATGAATACCCTGAAAAAGACACATAACTCCATCACTGTGAGACACATTTGTGTTTTTAAACATTTATAAAAATTATTCAATGTTAAATACATATTATTTATAAATATGTATTTAACATTAAATTAAATTCAAAATCTATTCAAAGATTTAACAAAGGTTTGATTTATTTCTATTATATCATATTATAACAATTTTTTTCAGACCCTTGCTAGGTAGGAACGAACCTTTCAACTGAAAATACAAAATGTGAATCCTTTGTTGACCATTTTATGAGCTGTGAGCAGTAAGTAAGTAAGTACAAGAAGCGGAGGATTACTCTATTCGTCGAAATCTTTTAAAAACTGCTCAATCAATATCCAAAAAATTTTAACATTATTATAGGCTTATATTAATACTTTTCAAACAAAGTTACAATAACATAAACCCGCCACGCAAAGGGTTTATATAACAGATCATCCCGCGCTAGCGGGATGATCTGATAAACACATACGAGTGCGCGCAGCGCACGAGTTTTGTGTTAATATGTAATCCCGAAGCGCCAGCTGAGGGATTACATTTATTTAGCCCTGAGCGTGAAGTGTTTATGGATTATAATTATCTCCGGCGATTTCGACAAGGGATTTATACTTTAGAAGTATACTGTACTGTACTGTCCGGAACACGATTGGAAAGCAGTTCATCAATCTGAATGTCAAACCGATCTGTCATAGTGGAGCAATAGCTTGAACGTTAGCAGGAACAAGAGCTGGAAGGAGAGCAAGCAAAACAATACTATTTTTAGGGCACGGACAAGGGTAGCTGGCTAGTCGCCAACTTCTCACGCCACGCGTTGGAGAAATTCCAAGAATTAGCTGCTTTGGCAACGTTCCCAGGAATTTGCGTGTAAAAGAAGTGGACGGTTACGATGTTTCATATCACGTGGTGCGCTTTCGTGTCACGTGGTATAGACTCGGCGTATGCTATTGGTGGCACGTGGTACGCACGTGACGCGCCCACGTGATCGCGCGTCTAACTGTTCTACTATTATCGAGTTCTAATCAGCAGTATCATTGATTATTGTAAGTCGGAGAATTGAATGATAAACATCAGTTACGACTAAAAAGCGGGCCGGGTTTATACAAATTTCCGGGGCGGGATGATATCACCTTGAGATGTTTATCTAACAGCGGGCCGGGCTGAGTGATAATATGATCCCGCGTCGAAATCCCGGAGATATTTATAACAAAGTCTTCATGTTATGTACTAGCTGGGTTTGGACAGGATAATATTACCCGCTTAAGATATTTCCATCGCGTTACATAATACTCAATAAATGTTATACTTATAGATTTGTAGTGTTGTAATAAGTTTTGAACTGCTGAAGTTTATCCAGCCCTAATATGTAACAACCTTAGAAAAGCAAACTTATTTGCCTTCGTTTTTAAACCTACTTTCAGCTTTTATCAGCAGCTACAATTACGGTACGTACCTATACTTAATACGTAGAATCTAGTCAATTGTAATAACATACACCATTGATAGCTTGGTGATATTGTCTAGCAAATATTAGAAACTGACTGGAAATCCGGTGCTTTCCATTTCAAATGAGCAAATGGCAAAAGCGAGAAGATCTTCTTTTATATCGTCAATTAATGATAATTTACTCTCTCTTATTTTAAATTATTAATAACCAACTCCAGGAACGAAGACGATGCTGTATAAAGACTATACGGATGTTCAACAGGAAGAAAGAGAGGATATCAGCTTCAACTAATCAATGAGAATTGAAGGTTAGTAAAAAAAAACCTTTTAAGTGCTTTTTCGTGATAACACTTCTATTTTGCTGAATTCCTAAAATTCAATTGCTGTTTGATACACACATTGCTATTATTTAACTTATTTTGAACTTGACTGTGATCAAATTTTGAACATGAACTGTGCTGATCACCAGAAATTACATGTACAATACCAGAAATAATGTGTCACTCGGCAATAAAACCACCATTTCAGAATACAGATTACAGCAACGAGCTTCATGGTATTGATAAGTGATGAATACCCTGAAAAAGACACATAACTCCATCATTGTGAGAAACATTTGTGTTTTTAAACATTTATAAAAAGTATTCAATGTTAAATACATATAATTTATAAATATGTATTTAACATTAAACAAAATTCAAATTGTATACAAAGATTTAACAAAGTTTTGATGTTTTGCTATTATATCATATTATAACAATTTATTTCAGACCCTTACTCAGCAGGAACGAACATTTCAACTGACAAAACAAAATGTGAAACCTTTGTAAACCTTTTTAGGCAGCTGTGAATAGTAAGTACAAGAAGTGAAAAATATTCTTCTCGTTTAAATTTTTCTACAAACTGCTCAATAATTATTATTTCATGAAATGTGATCATTTCGACTTTTACGTTCCGAACACGAAATGTGGTGTTTACCAAAAACTACATAATAACAGATTTTTGTCACTCGACCATTCCAGAATCCAGGAACGAGCCTCATGATATTGAAACGAAGATCACGCGAAAAGACACAGACCTCCGCCACTGTGAGATACTGCTGTAACCAGACATTTTAAGCTTATAGTAAGTACAAGAAGTGGGAAAAAAATATTCTTTTCGTTTAAATTTTTCTACAAACTGTTCAATAATTATTATTTCATGAAATGTGATCATTTCTACTTTTACGTTCCGAACACGAAATGTGGTGTTTACCAAAAACTACATAATACCAGATTTTTGTCACTCTACCATTTCAGAATCCAGGAATGAGCCTCATGATATTGTAACGAAGATCTTGAGAAAAGACACAGACCTCCGCCATTGTGAGATACTGCTGTAACCAGATATTTTAAGCTATCTTAATGAACAATTTGACTAGTAATAGTATCAACCTACCACTGAAGATGGTAAACATTGTACGACGTATACCGAACAGTAGAACCGGTGTCCCTTTTAACATTTTAAGAAATGCAACTGATTGATAAATTGAATCAGATTAATCATTTTAAACGTTTTCACAAATCTGCATGTATTGCTATTAGTATTATAACATATTATAACAATTTATTTCAGACCCTTACTCAGCAGGAACGAACTTTTCAATTGATAAAACAAAATGTGAACCCTTTGTAAACCTCTTTAGGCAGCTGTGAATACCTTATCGGACCTTATTTGGACGGACATTACATGAACGGACATAATTATGAACGGACATTAATATGAACGCTCGAAGGCATTCAAAACCATCAAAAAGCCGAATTTTTTTCAATTTTTTGAGGTTTTTCTAATTTCAGCAAATGATTTTTAAATTCATTTTTTATACAGTAAGTAAGAAAAGCAGTCATTAAGCAGTAAAAATTTTAAAATATGTGTACATGATCAGTGTCTAATATCACATATCATCTTCATCAAATGGGTTTTCGTGTATGAAATAGTCCATGCTTAAACAAGCATCAGTGATTTCTAGCTTCATGGAAACCTTTTTTATCAAACTACCCCGGTCCTGCATTTCAGTGTTAACTTTTACAAGCCATTCGGCGTGAAGTGGTTTTATCTTAAACAACTTTAGGTTAACCTTAACATCACGTGGAGCTTTCCTAGCACTGTTTCATTACCTCCCCTCAGTAATGTGAACTATAACAACTTCGGACAATGTCCTTGGCAACGCGATTTACCGTAATATCTAGAGGCTGGAACAAGTTTGTTATGTTGGCGGGGACTAGCTCATGAACTATGTTGTTGAGTGCCATAATTTTGTTGACTTTTTCCGCCAAGTGACCCTTGAAAACATCATATACTAGTAGAGTTGTCTGTGCCTCCGGCAGACCAAGGAGAACCTTTCCGTCGTTAACTTACGGCACAATAAAGTTCTCATAGTTGTCATATTCTGGACAAAAAGTTCGAAATGGAAACATTTTTGAAAAAATTTCAACGGACTTTAACTTGGACGGACATTAATTGAACGGACTTTATTTGACCGGACATTAAGATGAACGCTAGGGCCTCCAGCGTTCAAGTAATGTCCGTCCAAATAAGGTCCGATAAGGTAGTAAGTACAAGAAGTGGAAAATATTCTTCTCGTTTAAATTTTTCTACAAACTGTTCAATAATTATCATTTCATGAAATAAGATCATTTCTACTTTTACACGTTCCGAACACGAAATGTGGTGTTTACCAAAAACTACATAATAACAGATTTTTGTCACTCGACCATTTCAGAATCCAGGAACGAGCCTCATGATATTGTAACGAAGATCTTGAGAAAAGACACAGACCTCCGCCACTGTGAGATACTGCTGTAACCAGACATTTTAAGCTATCTTAATGAACAATTTTACTAGTACTAGTATCAACCTACCACTGAAGATGGTAAACATTGTACACCGTACCGAACAGTAAAACCGGTATCCCTTTCAACATTTTAAGAAATGCAACCGATTGATAAATGGAATCGGATTAATCATTTTAAACGTTTTCATAAATCTGCATGTATTGCTATTATATCATATTATAACAATTTATTTCAGACTCTTACTCAGTAGGAACGAACGTTTCAACTGAAAAAACAAAATGTGAACCCTTTGTAAACCTTTTTAGGCAGCTGTGAATAGTAAGTACAAGAAGTGGAAAAAAATATTCTTTTCGTTTAAATTTTTTTACAAACTGTTCAATAATTATTATTTCATGAAATGTGATCATTTCTACTTTTACGTTCCGAACACAAAATGTGGTGTTTACCAAAAACTACATAATAACAGATTTTTGTCACTCGACCATTCCAGAATCCAGGAACGAGCCTCATGATATTGAAACGAGATCACGCGAAAAGACACAGACCTCCGCCACTGTGAGATACTGCTGTAACCAGACATTATAAGCTAATAGTAAGTACAAGAAGTGGGAAAAAATATTCTTTTCGTTTAAATTTTTCTACAAACTGTTCAATAACTATTATTTCATGAAATGTGATCATTTCTACTTTTACGTTCCGAACACAAAATGTGGTGTTTACCAAAAACTACATAATAACAGATTTTTGTCACTCGACCATTCCAGAATCCAGGAACGAGCCTCATGATATTGAAACGAAGATCACGCGAAAAGACACAGACCTCCGCCACTGTGAGATACTGCTGTAACCAGACATTATAAGCTAATAGTAAGTACAAGAAGTGGGAAAAAATATTCTTTTCGTTTACATTTTTCTACAAACTGTTCAATAATTATTATTTCATGAAATGTGATCATTTCTACTTTTACGTTCCGAACACGAAATGTGGTGTTTACCAAAAACTACATAATACCAGATTTTTGTCACTCTACCATTTCAGAATCCAGGAATGAGCCTCATGATATTGTAACGAAGATCACGCGAAAAGACACATACCTCCGCCACTGTGAGATACTGCTGTAACCAGATATTTTAAGCTATCTTAATGAACAATTTGACTAGTAATAGTATCAACCTACCACTGAAGATGGTAAACATTGTACGACGTATACCGAACAGTAGAACCGGTGTCCCTTTTAACATTTTAAGAAATGCAACCGATTGATAAATTGAATCGGATTAATCATTTTAAACTTTTTCATAAATCTGCATATTTTGCTATTATATCATAATATTATAACAATTTATTTCAGACCCTTACTCAGCAGGAACGAACTTTTCAATTGATAAAACAAAATGTGAACCCTTTGTAAACCTCTTTAGGCTGCTGTGAATAGTAAGTACAAGAAGTGGAAAATATTCTTCTTGTTTAAATTTTTTTTACAAACTGTTCAATAATTATCATTTCATGAAATGTGATCATTTCTACTTTTACGTTCCGAACACGAAATGTGGTGTTTACCAAAAACTACATAATAACAGATTTTTGTCACTCAACCATTTCAGAATTCAAGAACGAGCCTCATGATATTGAAACGAAGATCTCGAGAACAGACTCAGACCTCCGCCACTGTGAGATACTGCTGTAACCAGACATTTCAAGCTATCTTAATGGACAATTTCACTAGTATCAACCTACCACTGAAGATGGTAAACATTGTACACCGTACCGAACAGTAGAACTGGTGTCCCTTTTAACATTTCAAGAAATGCAACCGATTGATAAATTGAATCGGATTAATCATTTTAAACGTTTTCATAAATCTGCATGTATTGCTATTAGTATTATAACATATTATAACAATTTATTTCAGACCCTTACTCAGCAGGAACGAACTTTTCAATTGATAAAACAAAATGTGAACCCTTTGTAAACCTCTTTAGGCAGCTGTGAATAGTAAGTACAAGAAGTGGAAAATATTCTTCTCGTTTAAATTTTTCTACAAACTGTTCAATAATTATCATTTCATGAAATGTGATCATTTCTACTTTTACAGTTCCAAACACGAAATGTGGTGTTTACCAAAAAATACATAATAACAGATTTTTGTCACTCAACCATTTCAGAATCCAGGAACGAGCCTCATGATATTGAAATGAAGATCTCGAGAACAGACACAGACCTCCGCCACTGTGAGATACTGCTGTAACCAGACATTTTGAGCTATCTTAATGAACAATTTTACTAGTATCAACCTACCACTGAAGATGGTAAATATTGTACACCGTACCGAACAGTAGAACCGGTGTCCCTTTCAACATTTTAAGAAATGCAACCGATTGATAAATGATATCGGATTTTTTTGAGAAATAACTTTAAATCATTTTGAACGTTTTTATAAATCGGCATTCACAAAATTTGGCGGCCAAACTCTGAATTTTTCCGGGAAAATTTTGGAATTTGGCCGCCAAATTCTTTTGGATGTCTAAATCAAAAATCTGTTCTCAAAATAAGGTGATAATGCGATTTCGAGTCGATTCCGAAAATTTCATGGAAAAATTTTGAAAACTGATTGAGTTGTTACAATTTTAATGAGATCAATTCCGCGAATATCGCGAACCAAGATACGGGCAATTTAGTTCATTTTTTGTGGTCTTTTTGCCTTAGTATCCACATTTAAACAGACATAAAGCTATAACGTACAGAGAATATGTAGTTTAGGATTACCTTTTATATAAAGTAAGTTTCATTCAAAAATATTGATATTTGACCAATTTATGGGACGAAATCTACCAAATTTGGTGCGTATGCCCAAATATGGGCATATGGTTTTTGGCTCATGACTCAATCATTTTTTGTCAAATCTTGATGAAATTTCATATACGAGTTCAGAAGACCACTAGTTACAAGAAAAGTACCTTAAATCTGGGTTTTGGGCATGTTAAAGGTATTGGGCTAAATTGGGCCTAATTTGGACCAAATATGGGCGTGGCTTCCCCGTGGGCACCGATTGGGGGTTGGGGTCGGGGACCCTCTCAAAAGTTCGGTCACTGGTCCTAGTTTGTTGGTCAACTGCTATCTCGAAATCAAGTTTCACAAAAAAATATCCATTGCCCCCCCCCCCCCCCCCCCCCCCCCCCCCCCCCCCCCCCCCGGCCCCCCCCCCCCCCCCCCCCTTAAAAGCATATAGTGTATTACTTTTGATTTTTCAGTTTTAAATTACTTCGTTAGTAATGACTATGATTTGTTTCAAACAGGTGCAATAATTAAATGTATAATCCCACAACTCTCTTTCGAATAAAACATTTCAGCAAGGCCATTATATAATACATCATATCATATAATAAACAAATGCCACTATATGACCCAAAATTTTAATTAGTGGCTCACGACATGAACTTATTGGCCGGGACCACAATACTGCGTAATTTACAATTTGATAATCTCAACGATATACTTATACTATTAAGATTATTATGCTAATTATGTTTATTTTACTAATTTCGCTAATTATAATAATTTTGCTAATTATAATGATTTTGTTAGTTATACTAATTTTGCTAATTATAATGATTTTGTTAGTTATACTAATTTTGCTGATTATACTGATTTTGCTAATTACACTAATTTCGCTAGTAACACTAATTTTGCTAATTAAACTAATTACGTTTATTACACTAACTTTGCTAATAACACTAATTATACCAATTATACTAATTTTGCTAATTATACTAATCATACTGATCATACTAATTATACTAATCATACTGATCATACTAATTATAATTAATAATTATACTTATTGTACTAATTATACTAATTGCATTGATTACACTAATTATAATAAATATACTAATTTAAATACTTATTATACTAATATAATTTAAACACTAATTATACTATTTACTCACCACAATGATTTTAATATGGATGCATACTACTCAACAGTCAACATCCGTTCAAATCGTTGCTGATCTGCGAATTGACAAAGCAACGATCTTCAATAAGAAGTAAAAAGAATAGTTTCCGCGGCGCGTCAAAGCTTGCTCTAACCATAACTCTTTGATGTCTGATCTGATCTCGCTTGCAGTATAGTGCGCGACCTTGTGAAACATTGTATCACGTGGTTTCACCTAACCATGTGTTTTCGCGCCACTTCGGGCGCGCTTGTTTCACAAGTCAAGAAAAGCACCTATCCACGAACCCCGATGGGAAGGTTCGTGCGCGCGTGAGCATGAGTGCTGACAACAGCGTCTATGTAGCGCAGGTAGTCTTGGCACTTCTCCCTCCAGTATGCAGCAACCACTTTTCAGGTTTCTATAGTGCATAGTGACAGTGTATAGGGGTTAATTAGGTATAAATCACAATATAGCTGTACTTACACCTACATTTACATGCATGCAAGCTCACTTAGTCCAATGAGCGGGAAACGGAGGACAAGGTCTGGTGACGTCATAATCACGTGACCTCAAAGGCTCATAATCACGTGACCTCAGCACTCAGACCCAATCAATGATCAATAAGATTCGGGCATGGTTAGCCCCTGTCACCCGATCTTGAGGTGACGTACGACACCTCGTTTACTGTTTACGCAATCAATTTGTCTGAAAGGCTTTACACGTCGCATGTGAGGACAAAAGCGAAAGTAATTTTGGCACCACTGTATATAAAGTGGTGCTGAAATCGTTGGGTGGGTTAATGGCTAGAGCCCTTTTACCGCCGTGAGGCGGGCGCGCGCTACTGCAAGCGCAAGGGCTCTGGATAGAGCAATCACGTGGTGACACCCACTCACCACTGTCGCTTCACTATAGAGTTTCTACGATACAGGGGAGCCGCGCACTCGTGCGCGGCGGGTCATACAACGTGTAACAAGCGAAACATGCCTGTCACGTAGAACGTTGCTCTAAGTCTAACTGCTAACGTACCAAAGCCCTCTCGCTTGCAATATCGCGTAACTGCACTTGTGAAACTAGCGCGCGACTGCACTTTTCACTTGTGAAACAAGCGCGTCACGCAGTACGCGTATACACATGGCTATGTAAACGCCACAAATTGATGGTTATCGTGAACGTCGATGCAGCAAAGTCCTCCAGCGACCAGCCAAGAGTAAGTGGTACAAAATTGTTTCACGTTGTAGCACCCACGGTCGTTTCACTATACTGCCGTTTTCTCAGAAAAGGCAGTAAGTCCAAATTTTCGAAATATGACAATATTGGTATCAAAATTTTCAGTAGAAAATTCTCTACATGAGCTACATATTAATGTATAGAAACATTGTTGCATGCAATTCCTAAGGAAGTAAGTCCCTGTTGAGAAACATTATGTTCGGTTTTGGCCAATTATTTTCTGAGAGAAGGACGTAAGTCCGGACTTACTGCCTTTTCTGAGAAAATCTTGAAAATTTTCTGAGATAAGGAAGTTATTCCGTGGACTTACTGCCTTTTCTGAGATAAATTATTTGTGATAGGAAGAAGTAGCTGGACTTACTTCCTATAAAAGCATGCTAAAAACGGAATTTTAGAAAGCGATTTCCCAAAAAGAACATAACTTTACTGCCGATTGATATTTTCGCTTGAAATTTTCAGAATCGATGTATGATTGCATTTCAACCTTACGTGAGTGATCAAAATTTTCATTTAGGCCTCAAAAAAAATTTGGTGGCCGATTTTCAAAAACGTCGGATGTATTTTAGTCGCAAAACATAAACATTGGAGCAGTTATTGAGCTGTTATAATCGCAGAGAATGTTTAGTTTAGGTATATCTTTTAGATCAAGTTCATTTTCATCAAAATATCGATAAGATATCATTTAATGCACTGAAATCGTTCAAAATTGGCGAGTTTGCCTAAATAAGGGCATACTATTATTCAAAAACATTTATTATATGATATGGAGCAATTTAGATTTACCTAATTGTTTATATTTTACAATATAATCCAAAATACATAGATCCCAACCTCAAAAATTTAGTAAAAAGCTTGGACTTACTTCCTTCTCAGAAAAATATTGAACAGAGATTTTTCTCAGAAAAGGAAGTAAGTCCACGTTTTCTCAGAAAAGGCAGTAAGTCCATCCAGTATGAAAAATAAGTTCGATTATTTGGCATAAAAATGGTTATATCTAAGCTTATGGACGGCTCAAAGCTTTAATTTTTTTGACAAATTAAAATTTAACTAATTATTGATAACTCAACGTGTTTACTTTCGAT